CGCTCGCTGCGCTGTCGGGTAGGGAACTCGGGACAAAAACCTGCCTTTTCCAGGCTCTCAGAACTTGGGTGGTGGGAAATGGGCTGTGTATTTCTCTTTTAAAAGAAACTGCTCAGATGGTTCTGGTTGTTGAATGTTCTCAGCCAAATTACTGAAAACAGCACTAGGAGGTGAGGGAGTCTGTCACATCTCTGGTGTGATGAAGATTGTGAAAGGAGGACAAAAATATACAAAGATGGTTTTGTGCTAGTGCTCTGCCTAGCCAAGGAGTTGGAGAAGGCTGCCAGTTCAGTCAGAAATAAAAAAAATCTGCTGTTTCTAAAGACAAAAGTCAGCAAAGAAAATATTAGGGAGAGGCAGTGCAGAATACAGAAGATGTCCATAGAGTGGAGGCAGAAAGAAGGTATTTAAGAGAATAAAAGCAGAGAGCTGGGAAGTGAAGACAGGAAAGAGTTAAATCCAAGTTCTGCTATTGACTTACTATAGGGTTTTTACTACATGATTTGTTTTCTCAGTAATACAGGGATATTTATCTAGTTCCCAAAGTAATAGACCAATATTCTTATAAGTATTTAAGATGCAGAGTGCTTTGCAAATGCAGAATATTTTCTCAGAAATAAGTGATTGAGTGATCCTGTATTTGAAGAGTAGCCTCTGAGGAGATCAGGAGTTCCAGCTATTTGGTTTTTTTATTGGATTCTGGAGCATAAGTCTGAGGGCTTACAGGTATTTGTGCCTTCTTCCTTCTGCAATCAGTGTCCAGGTGTTTTTAAGACAAATTTCAAGTCTCGTGTTTCCGAGATTGCACTGGTAGTGCAGGATATGACATTTTTGGAGTATCAGTAAGTGAGCACAGTGATGGCTCCATGCACCTGAGGTAGTTTTTATATGTGCTGTGCTGGTGGACGGTGCCTGTGGCTCTGATTGTTCAGTGTGTGACTGCACACTCTCTTCTGGTGCTGACTAAAATATCTTTGTCTCTAGAAATGTGAACATAACCTGAGCAAACCAGAATTCAATCCAACCTCTATCAAATTCAAGATCCAGCTGGTTGCTGTGTAAGTAAGATATGGGGACTGGGGACAACAGCTTAGTTAATGCCTTCTATTTGTTTGGTTTTTTTGGTACTCTTGTTTTGACCTCTTGTAGGATTGTGTCATCTCTTAGGATGGTGTAATCACCTTTTAAAATACAGTTACCTTATCTGTGAAAGGTTTGCTTCCTGATCTAGTAATGATTTCAGCAGTTTGACAAAACCACTGCATGCTGTGCCTGCCCCACACAGTAGTAGAGGTCTGTAGGATTAGGCTTGTACAGCAGCAGGGCACTTTATTTTTCCTCTTAATGTAAGCCAAGCTCTGATAGCTCTAATACCTCCCTCTGCTTCAGGAGGTGAGTTATAGACAGCAACACACTCCCTTATGGTCCTTTGCTTTGTTATTTTTGTAGTAACTACATCCCTGAAGTGAGAATCATGTCTATTCCCAACCTGCGCTACATGAAGGTCAGTAGCTTTTCCAGAAATGTCTTAGGGTGAGACACAGTGGGGAGCTGTGAATGTGGGATCTTTTTGGAAGGTGACACCGTGTGATGTTGTTCCCTAAGGGTTCCACTCAGCTTGGAGGGCGCAGGGTTTAGGGGAGTGGTCACCGCCTGTACTTGTCACTCTGCAGCAGATTACTGTGCAGTGTGACATCTGGCCTCACAAGCACTTGCCAGTATCTGAAGAATAAAAGGTGTGGAGTTGAGATCTTGGCTAGATTCCAAAAATACGTATTTCTTATATTAAGGAAGAGTGTTGCATGGCATTGGTGCCTTTCTTACAGACTGGGGGTGGTTGCTGTCCATCCCTTGAGAGGATATGATGCAGTTTTTGAAGGCGTTGATTGGTCACGGAAGATGGAGGTGCTAACAATAACAATGAATTTTAGCACAATTGCTTCTTGAATTGTGATTCCTGAATCTCCTCAGGAGAGCCAAGTCCTTCTGACTCTGACCAATCCTGTGGAGAACGTCACACATGTCACTCTGCTGGAGTGTGAGGAGGGAGACCCTGACAACATCAACAGCACTGCCAAGGTACCGTACCCTCCCAAGCCTCTTCCAAGGCTTACTACTCCCATTTGTCCTTCCACAGGCCACACTTTTCATATGTCCTTCAACCCCTGCTGTGTCTTCACTGAGATCCAGAACCCAAGGGAGAAATTAATGATTTCACTGGCAGGGTGGTAATAAAATGGTCCCAGAGCAGAGGAAAGCCGAGGATGAATCACTTTTCTGTTAAACTGTAGTTAAGCAGCCCTCAAAAGGGGAGGGCCCTCTCCTGCTTGCAGTGTAGCTGGTGATCAGTGCTGAAAGGCCTCTTTCTCTCCCTGCTCTGTTTCAGGTATCTGTTCCTCCCAAGGAGCTTATTCTGGCTGGCAAAGATGCTGCGGCAGAATATGATGAGCTGGCAGAGCCTCAAGACTTCCAGGATGACCCTGAGTGAGTATTGTCTGTCCTGTGGGGATCATCTTCCTTAAAAACTTGGCACTTCAAGTAACTCACTCTCTTCTTTGTCTTCAGTGTGTTTTGCTTCCCCCTCAGAGCATTGTTCCTCTCTGAACAATGGTTTGAGAACTTGGCTGACCCAGTGTTCCTCTGTGTTCTGCCTTGCAGCGTTATTGCCTTCAGAAAAGCCAATAAGGTGGGAGTTTTCATCAAGGTCACCCCGCAGAAAGAAGAGGGCGAAGTGACCGTGAGCTTCAAGATGAAGCACGAGTTCAGAAACCTCACTGCTCCCATCCGGCCCAACGAGGAAGGCGATCACTCCTCAGAGGTCATCTGGCTCACCCACCACGTGGAGCTCAGCCTCGGCCCCGTGCTCCCGTAGAGGCTCCCAACGCTTGCTCCCTGACGGCTGGCGCAGGATGGACTGGCACACTGAGAAAGCACCTGCTGGAAGGTTCTGCCAGAGCTCCTTTGTGATGTGTGGGTGTGCCACAGGCCCCGGCCGGCCGCAAGGAGGGTGCTGAGGGTGCTGTGGTTTGGGATGGTTTGTTCTCTCTCCCCTTGTCGTAGTGCCCACTAACCACCACTCCTCTTCCCCTCACTGCTACAGGCTAGTTTAACTTGCAGCACGTGTCAGAGCACAGAGAAAGGTCTCGCTTTCTCCAGGTTTGCGCTGAGTTTGGCTCTATCAACAGATAATTTTGGCTAAATTTGGATTTATCCACAGAAAAGAACCCATACCGTTTTTTCCTGATGTTCCATGCTCTGTAATGAACAACTTCTCTTTCACCCAGAGCTATGCCCTTCCCAAACCAACATTTTAAGAGGTGGCTGTGTCTGCTGCATTACTGGCAAGTTACTGGCAGCAGCACAATGTTTTCTTTTGGTTTTCTGCTTCCTTGTAGGATACCTCAACTGTGGGGCACCGGGATGTACAGCCCTACCCCTCTGGCATATGTAGCTTGCTTAGCTGAGGTGGCAGATCTGTTTTCACAAAGGAGTTGATGAGTTTGCCTTTAAACTTTAAACATAGTGTACTGTAGTGTTCATGGATTTGACTGGCAACCGAGCCTGCTGTCGGCCTGCTGGGCCTCAGGTGGATGTGGCAGCATGATACACTGCAAGCTGGGAATTCAGGTGCTGCTGCATCTCTTGACTGAGGCAGGAATGCTCTGGAGAGGCTGCCTGACAGTCTTCAGCTCCATAAGTTGTTAGGGATCATAGTTATCAGGGTGTGAAACCTGGAGAGTTAAGGTTAGTTCTGGTAATTGTAAACCCACAAAGGTGTTTTTTGGGTTCATCCTCTGTGTTTTTCCAGTTAGGGTGGGTGTGAGGGAGGTGTAAAGGTGGAAAGTCTTTATTTGTTAACTACACACACTGTACTACAAGGTCACTTACCCGGTGTGTAATTTGGCTGCAGCCCAGACTAAAATGGGTGGTTAAGAGCTGTGTATCCAGGACACTGCATAACCAGAAAGTGCGTGGCTAATGCAGGCAGGTGAGATGGCTCTTCCTGCAGAGCATTCCCACTTCAGTTATTGACCTTAGTTAAACCTATCTGATGGGCTTTGATGTGCTGCTCTGCTGGGAAAGGCTTGAGTGCCAGCCAGGCATGGCTGTGTCACTCCAGATGCTCATGCCATGGCTCTGCCAGCCTGGATCTGCAGATCCTGTTCGTGGGAAGGCAGGATGAGGCTGCCTGCTCCCCACAGGTGGTGGTGCAGCACCCAGAACATTTCCCTTAGCGCAAGAAACCTGCCGTGGTGTGTGGGAGGGACTCCCACCCCACAGCCCTGATCCTGGGCAGGTCTCAAAGCAGTGAGGCATCACGTTTACAAGTTGTAACTTTGTGTAGGTTACACACAGATGTACAGCATGAATTTGAGACTTGTAGTTAGTAGTTAATGTATAGCGCTAGTGCCTGCTGCGGCTTCACCTGTCCAGATAACAAAGCACTGCACCTCTGGCCGCAACTTCTCCTGTTCAGTAGCCAAAACAGCTGTTACACTTGCGACACGACTACGGAAAAGCCGAGCTGGTGGCTGGCCCAGGGCTTGAGCTGTGCCTGGGGCTGGTGGCCATTGTTCCCCTGGTGCTGGCCTGGGGTTTGCTGCAGGCCAACACAACCTGCGCCCCTCTCACTACAAACACAAGGTGCATTGAGTTGCGCTGTTTTGAGCGGCCTGATGAGCTCGGCGAGTTGTTTTCCCCCCTCCCCGTAGGTGCTGTAGGCGGTAGGAAAGGTGTCTCGGTGCGTCCCTGCCTCTGTCCCCGCTCCCCGACAAGGCGCCTGTTGCCTTATGCTTGACGTCGTGTAGTGACCTTCAATAAAACACAACGTGGCTCTCGGATTCTTTGCGCTGGTTCTTTATAATTTAATTATTTAAACAAAACAAAAAAGCGAAGCTTCCCCCCCCCCCCCGTGTTTTCCCGATGGTCCCGCCGGTCCCCCCCGGTGCCGGTGGTCTCGCCCGGAGCGCGGTGGCGGCAGCGGCGGCGGAAGTGGCGTCAGTTCCGGCGGGGCCCGGCCGGCAGCGGGGCGGGCGCCATGTCCACATCGCTGGGCTCCAACACCTACAACCGGCAGAACTGGGAGGACGCGGTGAGCGGGGGGAGCCGGGACACGCGGGGAAGGCGGGAGGAGCGGGACCGGGGTGGGCTTGCGCTGCCAGGAGGCCGCCAGGCGAGGGGAGCGCGGGGAGGAGGCGCCAGGACCGGCCCTGGGCACCCGCGACCCCCGACCTGCGGTGCCGCGGCTCCCGGGCCCTCCGTACGGCAAAGGGACGGTGCTGCTCCCTACGGTCGGTAGGAGGGGGAGCTCTCGGCGGCTGCTGAGCCGGGCCCCTCGTGTGCTCTCTGGAGCCGAGGCCTCTCCTCTCAGGCTATGCTGAGGGATAACGGGGCGGCGCCACCTCCTCGGGTCCGGGCTCACAGGATCAGATCTTAAGAATATGCTTTCTTTGTTTGTGTGCTCTAAGTTTTGCATCAAGCTACAGCAGCCAGCAGATCGCGATTCTTGAATAATTTGAGCCTGGGTGGTGGCTTGCAGTTCTCCTGATGTCTCTGAATCTTTTTGCGTTTTTCAGTCAGTGTGATGAGTTTAACTCAGTAGCATTTTTCAGAGTGCGACTTGAATGCTGTTGTGATGTCAGAGTTTGTTACAAATTCCCGATTTTCTTCTTGCTCCACGCAGGACTTCCCTATCCTGTGCCAGACATGTCTTGGAGAAAACCCCTACATTCGGATGGTATGTTCCTTTTGGATCCTGCAGTCCTTCCCTCTGTGCTGGACTCTAAAACTGTGGGGTCTGGGGACTGAAGCAGGGCTGGGGGCAGGAGGGGCTGCTGAGCTGGACACACACACCTGAGCATCTGGTTCTGCACAACAGGACTTGGTTCCAGCCGTTGTTGGTATGTGGTGTCATGGTTAGGGGTGTGATATAAGAGCAAATCAATCAAAAAGGAGAGGAAGATGACGTAGTCCAGTGTCTGGAGTGCAGGAAAGAGTAGAACATGAAGCTTTAATGCTTCATGTGAACTGTGACGTGGAGAGCTGTGAGCTGCTGAAACACTAAGTAACACAATTCCTAAAATATGACGAACATGCAGTACTGAAATTAAATTAAAGCTGCCTTGTGAAGGTAATTTAAATCCCTGTTTGTTTTCCTTGGTTTCCTCTGTGCAGGGTGAGTCAGTCCATGTTGTGTTGCTTTTCTCTGCTCAGCCCACTTGTGTGTGACCTACACTGACACGATCTCCTTCACATTTCTGTGCCACCAAGTTTGCTGAGAGAGATTGGGATATTTTTATGAAACACAACCTTAATGCTGGTATAGGTGATATATCAAAACCAGGTTGTTTTCACGGTCATGTAACATCGTCTTTCCTGAAAAATAGCTCTTATTACTCCTTTTCATTCCTATCTTTCATCAGTGCAGGGGTGGGACTTACAATACTCTGTTTTTAATGAATGTTTCTAAACCAGAAGTGGATTGAGAGTATTTTAGAATTGACTTCTTTGTCTTGTTGACCTTCCAAGGTGTAAGCCCAAAACATGGGGGTGGATGAGTGTAAATGCAGCATAATTATGAAAAAACCCACTGTGTTATAACATCAATGATATGTTTTCTGTTGAACTGATGATATTTCATGTTTTCTTTTATTGCTTTTTATTACATTTCAGACCAAAGAAAAATATGGAAAAGAATGCAAGGTATGTTTGTGTCTTTTGAAAAAAGAATGTCTAAATTGGTGCAGATCTAGGAATAATATGTTTTAATGATTAAAAACCTGTCGGCTTCAGAAAAGCACTTATCTGGGTTAACAACTTAAAATATTTATGTAACTACATAAATTTTTAGGTCGGTCTACTGTGCTTTGTTAAACAAAGTCAGTTGGTCTTAAAATAGCAAAATTTTTGAGCAAATCCTAAGTCTGTCTAAATCTTCATGTTTATCAGAATGAGGGTTTGTGAATACTGTTGTACTATATTTGAAGATATTTCAGCATTTTAAATTATTTAATGTTTTCTTGTGCAGGTCTTTTGTTTTTACTCAGAAATGCATAAATACCTGGAGTTTAGGGTTAGCTCTGCGTATGTTACTCATGGCTACGTGGTGATTTGTGTTAATTATTTAAGAAATAAGCCACATTTATTTCTGAAAGAGCAAGAAATAGTGTTCACTGGACTGAGGGAAATCAAAGGAATTTTTTGCCCTTTTATCAGTTCTCTTCTGAAGCAGAGAGAAGGCATGTGTTGAAATCTGTACAGATTGAGATTGTATCCACATACTCGGGCTGTACATGCAGCAGAAGCAGATGTGTCATTCCATGAGATAAGAGAGGGCAGTAGTCTTTTTCTGGACCAAAGGTCTCATAACCTCTCCCCGGGTTGCTGCTGTGCAACAGCACAGATGTAGTTCATCTCTGATAGCTCTACACTGACATCTCCTGGAATGAAGGAGAATTTCTGTTTCCTTTGAGTAGATCTGTGCTCAGGCTATTGTAATAAATTAAAAAAACAAACAAACAAACAAAAAAAAACCAAGAAAAAAAACTTCCCTAAAACTTTCTCCTGTCTAAATAAAGCACCAAATAGAAAACTGAGAACCAAACAGAAAACCGAGCTCTGTGTCTTAGCACTAAGATGGAGAAGTTGTACTTACGGTTTAAAGAGATTAGACGAGTTTGGAGTTTTCAGTTTCCGTGCAAGAAGCAGAACAGTCACTGCGGAGGGAGAAACAAGGGTCACCTTTCTGTGTCCCAGATTTGTGCCAGGCCTTTCACCGTGTTCCGCTGGTGCCCCGGGGTGCGGATGCGCTTCAAGAAGACCGAAGTGTGCCAGACATGCAGCAAGCTGAAGAACGTCTGCCAGACCTGCCTGCTTGACCTGGAATATGGTGCGTACCCAAAAATGTAAACCAAGAGAAGGAGCTGGCCTCTGAAATGTAAAATTGGTGAAATGTCTTTAAATTTGTGTGTGTATTTGGCACTGGGCAGTCTTGGAGAGGAACAAGTCTTGGCGATCACATCTGCAGCAGATGAGTTACCTCTGGCCAGTGCAGGTTGCAGAAATAACTATTTCTGCTCTTTCAGCTTGTGCTTCATATGGATTTGTTGGGGTTTTATTGTTTCATTCTAGGTTTGCCTATCCAAGTCCGAGATGCAGGACTCTCCCTTAAGGATGAAATGCCCAAATCTGACGTCAACAAAGAGTACTATACCCAGAACATGGAGCGAGAGGTAAGATAGTTACAGTCATGCTCTTGATGTGACTGTGGATGGGGAGGAAAGGGGAGCAATGACCCAGCTTCTCTTAAAACCTTTTGCTTGCTCTGGTTCTGTGCATTAGTGTTCAGTGCTGATATATACATAATTGTTTGTGTTTTACCTGCTGTTTAGATAGCCAATTCTGATGGCACTAGACCTGTTGGTGCACTAGGAAAAGCTACTTCTACCAGCGACATGCTGCTGAAGCTGGCCCGAACCACTCCGTACTACAAACGCAACCGTCCTCACATCTGCTCCTTCTGGGTGAAAGGAGAGTGCAAGAGAGGGGAGGAGTGTCCCTACAGGTACAGATACATCTTAAACAGTTAATCTGTTCACCACAGCTACCTTGGGGCTCAAAGAACCCAAGATCTTGCAGTGGGCAGGAGACTCAACACTGTGATTGGGCTCAGGGTGAAACTTGTGTCCAGCGCCAGCAAATGAATCTCTGTGGTGGCACGTTCGTTAGTGAGCCATTGACTGCAGGGTTTGCCAAAGCAGTGACTGCAGCTCTCCTCTTGTGTAGTTCATTTTTCCCCTTCATGGCGTCAGTCCCCTCAACCAGAGATCTTTGTGTTTGAACAAGAGGCCATTTGAATCCAGCTCTTGTGTTTTGTGGGGCTCGAATGTTGAGCTGTCAGAAGTGCCATTCATTCGGAACTTGAGGCAGTCCTGGCTGCAGTTCAAGTTCTCAGGGCTTTTTGTTCCATTTTGGCATGTTTATGTGGACAGCGTTAAGGATATAAGTGACCCGAGGGCTTGAGAAGGGAAGGTGGCAGCTACAGCCATTTTAATCCATGCAGCTGTCACTGGTGTTATAAAATGCTTTGCTTGCTGAACCTTAGACATGAGAAACCTACAGATCCAGACGATCCTCTGGCTGACCAGAACATCAAAGATCGTTACTATGGAATTAATGATCCCGTGGCTGATAAACTGCTGAAACGAGCATCAACCATGCCTCGCCTAGACCCCCCCGAAGACAAGACTATTACTACACTGTATGTTGGAGGGCTTGGAGATACCATTTCTGAATCGGATCTCAGGTGTGTTGGTGAATTATATATTGCCCTTGCCCTTTTGTTTGACACTTTGGTATCTGCTTATGTTCCAGTAAGGAAATCTCTCTTGCAAGGAACAAAAATAAACCTGGTTTTCAGTTTTCCTTAATGGGGAACTGGTTGGTGGGCAAGTGCAGGGGAGTGCCAGCTTGTTGGAGAACAGATAAACAGGCACATTTCAAATGCTTTGATTTAAAATTTATTTCTTTAAACATGAATCATCCTTCTGAGCTGTTGGGCATACTGTGCAACCCTTTTTACAAGGAAGTCCTGTAGCCTCTAGCTAGCTGCTAAGAGAAGCTTCAGAGCTTTCATTGCTCCATAATTGCACAGAGAGGCAATAATGATTAATTGATCGATTATTAATGTCTAATGATCAGTTTGAACTGGGGATGGAGAAGAGAAAGCATACCTATTCTACCTGCTCTGCTCTGTACCCCGTGACTAGGAGGAGAGGGGTATCATCATGATTTTTCCCTTCCCCCTGCAGAAATCACTTCTACCAGTTTGGGGAGATCCGGACGATAACGGTGGTGCAGAGGCAGCAGTGTGCGTTCATCCAGTTTGCCACCCGCCAGGCTGCAGAGGTGGCTGCTGAGAAATCCTTCAACAAGCTCATTGTCAACGGTCGCAGGCTCAATGTCAAGTGGGGAAGGTGAGTGTGGGGGGAGGAAGGCAGGAGGATACTGCCACAAGGTTCTGCTCCCAGTTTATGTAGTCTTGATAAGCAGGATTGGATATTATGGTGGAGTACATATTTGATTGGTAAATAGCTGGGGTCCTCTTACAGCTTGGCTTTGTTTCTGCAGCGGGATGTGGGTTGGAGATGACACAAATAGTGTAAGAGATTTCCTGGCTGAGGGTTATGGATGGGTTTCTGTAGTTTTGCTCCTAGTCCATCTCCTGTAAGCACTGTTTGCACACTTTGTACCACCTGTCTCTGATGTTGTGAGTTTTTCATCTTTGGCCTGAAACAGTGGATCTGGATTAGATAAGGTGAAACTACTGTGTTACAAATATTTCCTTATCCCACTTTTTCTCATCCTTGTTCTCAAACTTTTGTCTGTTTCCCAGGTCCCAGGCAGCAAGAGGAAAAGAAAAGGACAAGGAAGGTACTACAGAATCCGGGATAAAGCTGGAGCCAGTTCCGGGACTTCCTGGTGGTAAGGGAATTGTTTTCATCTCTGAAACACTTAATGCTGACCTGCTTCCATGAGTGAGGCTAGTGTTAAATTTCTGGGAGCAGTGACAGTTCAGGATGGTAGAGGCAGTGGTGAGCAGAGCAGTTGCAGTAGCTTTGCAGCAGATCCAGCTGGGATGGGAGATGAGCTTTGTTTAGAAGCAAATCCTGGATGAAAAGAGAGTTCTTTATGTGATGAGTGAAAAGGTAAAGCTCAATTCAAGGTACTTAGGTCTGAGACACTGGCAGCACATGCTTTTAATGTTTTCCTAATTCACTGAGCATTGTATGATGGAAAAAGCAAAGCTGGTTTTGGGTGAAGAAAACCAGTGACTGGAATTTCAGGGCAGTCCTGCTCTCACGGTTCAAAGGTGCGATGGTAGCAGCAGTTTGCCCTTGCGAAAGCACGCATTGTGCCCCCTCTCTGAAGGAGACACCTCTGCTTGTCTTGCATCTCCATAACCACTGTGTGCTTCTTCTGCAGCTCTCCCCCCTCCTCCAGCTGCAGAAGAGGAGGCTTCTGCAAATTACTTCAACCTACCTCCAAGTGGCCCCTCAGCTGTGGTGAACATTGCCCTGCCACCTCCCCCTGGCATCGCTCCACCGCCACCTCCAGGTACTTGTGTTTCCCCCTCTAGTGGGGGTGTGGAACTCGGTGTTAGATGGTCTGTTCCTCCTTGCCTGGCCATGCTACAACTGATGCATGCCCTGAACTGATTTTCCTCATCCCTGATCACACAGTGTCAACTGATGATCTAAACTGAGGTGTCAGCACAGTTTAATTAAACTGAGCTGCCTGTTGTGGTAGGTATTCACTTGCAAATTCCCAGGCATGGAGATCCCCATCGCTGGTACTGAGACCTACTCAGTGCTTTTGCTGGCTGTGTAAATGCCGCATTAACCCCAACTTCAAAGGGTAATTTTGCAGCTAGTTGACTGCCAGCCTGTTTTTGGCTCTCTGTATATATCTATCCAGAGTTCCTTTTTTTTTTTTTTAATGGAATGTTGTACTCTTGTGAGTATATTTTCTCTGCTGCACGGTTGAATAGAAAACATTTAGATGGGCGTTACAGACATCTGCCCAGTTGCCCCACCAGCTTTTATCTGTGAGTGAGGATGTGTGTTGGGTAGGGATTGCCCCCAGTTGTACGGAAAAGAGGGAAGGAGTTTTGGGGGAGATGGGAGATGAGCACATTTGTGAGGCACAGCTGTGAGCCAGCTGTTCAGTCGGCGCTTTGAAGCAGTGGAACATACGCATCGGGTTTTCTGCTGCTTTGCCTGAAGCTGCCAATTTTATTCCTGCAGGTTTTGGACCACACATGTTCCATGCTATGGGGCCCCCACCTCCCTTCATGAGAGCCCCAGGCCCCATCCACTACCCATCCCAGGACCCCCAGAGGATGGGTGCCCACGCGGGAAAGCACAGCAGCCCCTAGCACGTCCTGCCACCCTCATCCTTGAAGTAAATGTTATTTTCTAGTTACCATGGTAGCACCATATGTTGAGCTGTGGGTGAGCTAGAGACGCCTTATTCCCCTGCTTGCAGCCACAGGGCAAGCTGAGCTCCGTGTCTCCGCTAGCTAATCGGATTGTTGGTATGTCCCAGGTCTTTCTTTAAGTGTTGGGGGGGGGTGGGGGACAGACAGGGGGGTTGTCTGTGGGTCTGGGGTACCAGAATTACAGTGCTATCTGTGTATCCCATTGGCACACTTTTAAAATAAACTTCTGGAAAAACAAAACCAAACCCTTTTCAAGCCCGTTTGATGTCCTCAGTCTGAACATTATGGACTGTTTAAATGTAACCAGAGACTCTTCTCTGTCAGGTAACTAATGATGTGCTAATCTAATGAGGTGTTAAACCAGGACTGAATAAGAGCTGAAAAACAAGCTCATCAGATGATGTTGTTGCCACAGGCAAACCCATGGCTTTGCCTTACACAGAGTTTTCCTCCCTCCTTTTTCCTGACTTCTGGCTTTGAAAAAAAGACAAGAAAACAAAACCTTTTTTGATGCATCACTTCTAATCCTGCTCATCCTGGGTGAGACAAACGCTGGGTCAGCTGAGCAGCCCTCGGGCAGTGCAGGCATGACATGGAGTGACAGGTCAGCAGTTGCCCAATTTAGCCAGGTGACGGTCCCCTCAGTGGCCCCACAGGCTGGGCTGTGTTGCTGACAGCTGCAGGGGAGGGCACTGTGCAGCCGCAGCTGCTCTGGGGGAGATTTGGGGCTTTCGAGGCCCTTGGTGCAGTGTCTTAAGCTGTGAGAAGGGTCCCACTTCATCCTGCTTTTCCTTCTGTGCTCCCACTGTAGTGCTTGGCCAGGAGTGACTGCATCCTGCATGGAGCCTGCTGCTGAGTAAGGTCTGTGTACATGTGGCTGGAGGATTTTAGATTTATCTGTGTGTCAGCTGCTTTTGTGCAGTGGATCTGTGGACATCTTTCTGTAAAGCAAAACGTGATGGGGCTTGTTCTGAGGCTTCATTTGCTTGTTTCAAAAAAAGCACATTAAAATATTTGAATTTTTCACCACTGTGCTTAGACCCTGCTTCCTGGAGTGCAATGTCTGGGGACTTTGTCTGATTTTTATGTGGCTGCTCCCACAGCCAAGATGCAATGTGGGCAAGGACAGCATGTCTGCTTTTGTTTTCATGTGCTGTCCTTTATGGTGACACTGAGTCCCATGATGGACTGCCAGGCTGTTGGAGGGGTGTAGCACTTGTGCACCATGGACTGGCTTTCTCTGGAGAAAGCTGGGCTTTGGGCATGGGTGATTAGTTCAGCTTTTGTCAGGGAAGAGCCATTTCAGGGCAGCGTTGGGCAGCAGAGGCTGCTGGTGGATAGGAAAGGGCTGTGGCTTTTGCCACTGCTCTGGCCCCAAGACTCCACAGCCAGGGCCTGTGAGTGCTGTGCAGACACGTCTCAAATGCAAGAGGCTTTACATCATCACTATTTATTATTTCCAGTTCCCTGGGGTTACATGGCTTCTGCAGATGATGGACAAAGAGGAGAGAGATGGAACTGGAACAGGGCAGCAGTTGAGCATCACAGATACCCAGATCAATAGGCTGTTGTTAGCCACAGGTCCCACTGTGTGTCACTGCTGTAATTGGATCCTCATTGCTGATTTTCACATTCCCAGAGAAGCCTGTGCTCTCTAGAGTCATGATCACGCTGCTTTTCCTTCCCTGTGGAACACCCTGGCAGGATCCTCAGACTGGTGTGGGTCCAGGCAGGACCTGATCCTTGTTAACCAACTACATGAAGCAAATCTGGCGTAAGTCACTCAGGGCTTAGATGTTCAAGCAAGGCATGCAAATAGCAGTAGAAAGGGGAAAATACCAGCTGCCAAGTGCTAGCCAGTGGAAAATACAGCACAATTTTCCAACTCCCACTGTTCCTCTCCCATCTATCCTGGTTGTGCTGTGTTGGTAAACAGGCAGATTCCCAGTTCCTCATTTGTTTTGTTGTCCAGCCAAGCCCAAAGTAGCTGCTTTTAACATGCCAATGCCTCCAGTAACTTGTTTTGCTGCTGCTCTTCCATTATCACCTCCTCTCACCGTCCTGACTGGAATGACAGATGCAGAGTTGTCCTGAAGATGGAATTTCTCTGCAAAAGCACCAGCTGTCAAAGCAGGTCTCTTGTGTCGGTGAAGACGCAGGGAGGGAGTTTGGTGTGTTGCAGCTGGTGGTGCTGTTTTCCACAAGGCAGGGCAGAGGACAGGCTGTATGAGGTGTTTTGTATGGGAGCTTGTGGGGATCTGCTTGATTAACAGCAAGAACTTGGCTGGCTGGCTTGGCACTCACTGCCCTTGTGACCAGGGCTGCTGCAAGGGGAATTCAGAATGGTCCCAGACTCGAGCTCGGTCAAACCCCATCTGAAGATGACAACCCGAGACCACTGGCTGAGCTTCCACGAGGGATACCTGCCCCCTCTCCCCCACCCTGCGAAGTGTGTCCGAGTCTAGCGAGGAAACCATCCGTGGTGGTGTGGAAGGAACAGCTACAGCTCTTCGCTCTCCGGCAGGATCCGCACCCAGCCTTGCGCCACGCGGTTGAAGTTGGGCCTGTGGGAAATCACCTCCAGCGCGCTCAGGTTGTCCAGCTCTGCGGTGGGCACAGAGAACAGCTCCCCAACCACCGCCCTGTCAAACGGGGCTGGGGTCCTGTGGCACAAGGAGAAGCAGACTTAGTCACAAGGGCATGCTGTGAAGGTGATAGAAAAAGTAGGTCTGGATTTACTGACTCTGAGCCCAGCACAGCCTAGCAATGTCTGTGGCAAATGACAACTCTCCTCCTCCTCCTCCCCAGAACACTGTTAGAGCCCCTGCCAGCCCAGCAAGGTGCTTCTCCGGTGCAGAGCCCACCTCAACTCAAGCTTTGGCAAGACTAGGGAGCAAGGCTCGGTGCCTGAGTGTGAATGGAAGCGTTCTGCACATGGAAGGGCTTAGGTTCAGAGAGCAGTGACAAACCCCCTGGTCGTTAGAAAGCGTCTCAATGTGTTCTGCAGAGGGCCGAGGCCGATGGCTGCTCCAGATCCCTGCAGCACATGTGCAGGCAAATGTGTCTCTCTTGGCCCTGGCTCCATCCTGCCTTTTGGGACGGCTTCTCATGAACTATGACTAACAGGAGGAGCAGTGCGGGGGCAAGAGCTGTCATCCCTTTCTGGAGAAATGTGGAAAGGGACTGGGGAAGATTGTGCCAGCCCCCAAAAAGCCAAGAATGTTGGTTTTGGAGCAGCACATGGAGGCTGAGCTATCAGTGAGGCAAAGCTGGGAATGTTTGCTTTGGGAAGCACTGCTAGAACACGAGTAACGTGGCAGTGTTTTGCAACAGAGGAGAAATAAGAGGGGGAAAGGTAAAGTAGAGAGATTTGTTCTAGGAACTTTCTCTCTTCTGGGAAAAGATAGTCTTTGTCAAAGGTTGGTTTTCACTCTCTCTTAAGGCAGCAAGGTGGCCCCAGGTCTTTGCATCACAGCCTGAATATTTAAAATTGGGAATAAATCAGTCTTTAACACAGTTGCTGTTGAAATGGTGGACTTGCCCTTGCCTTGTGACCCATGTGAGCTGGGATTCAACCAGCCTTAGGCAAGACCACTGGCTTTTTGATAGCCAATCTCTTCCAAAAGGCTTGTTTTTCTGTGGTTTGGTATTTGAACTGAGAAGTGATTTAAAAGCCAACAGCTTGGAAGATCATGAAAAGCCCAGTTAAAAGCAGATTGGCTCTCTGAATCTTCCTGCCTCAGTGAAGAATTAGAGGAGGTGGCGAGAGGCTTGGAGTTAAATTAGCATCCATCTGTATTAAATTACAGTTGAAGACTTTAAATAGAAAGGCAGCGTGTGAGAGAGGAGAAATGGTGCAGGGTAAAGCACTATTCAGAAACATGCCCTTGCTTCAGTCCCTGTCCATAAATAAATCCCAAGGCAGGAACATGGCTAAATGTTGAAATAAAAGAGCCAAGTGTCTGCAGCAGCTTTTCGTTCTCCCCCTGCAGCACCTCCTCGGCTGTAACTCCTCAAGGAGAGCCACATGGCAAAGCCCCAGGGCTGAGGGGGAGGAGAGCAGCAAAGGGATGGTGGTGGCCAGGCTGATCTCTGGCTTTTGGGATACCATTCCCATGTGGAGGGGTTGTGGCTCCCCACAGCCCCTTCTGCCAGGTGCTCAAAGCACAGCAGTCGTGTGTCCCATGACCCAAATCCAGCCCTGGTGTGGGCACAGCAGAGCTGCCCCTGGCACAGGCCCAGCACTGTGCCCATGGTCTGACAGGGAGCGGTGCTGTGTCCTACTGGGGAGCTCCAGTGGGAACTTGAATGCTGTAAGGCAACTTTGGCCAGGCCACCAAGGCCCAAGTAATTCCATCCTCATGACAGAGGCTTTCATCAAGGAGGACCCAGGACCTTGGTTTGCAATTCCCTGGGATGATGTTCAGTTTAAAAGTTCAGTTCTCATTATTCTACCATGGGCTGCTGGTGCTTTGCTACCACCAGATCTCCATCTCCTGGATCCCCACCGAGCACCTTCCCAGAAAGGAAACCTTCCTTGGCAGTCTCTGCTCCAGCCTTGACCCCAATGTATTTTGGAGGTGTGACGAGGCACCAGCTGTGCTCCATCAGAAGCAGCCACAGGGCAGGGAGCTTGCCAGGCTGAGCCACTAGAAATCCCCTGGCCTGGAGGCTTCAATCCCAAGCAGGTGTTTGGAAGGAATCTGGTGACTTCTTTTAGCACTTTGTGGGATGATTAACCTTATACCCCCACCACTTCCAGCAGCTGCTTGGATACCTTAAGGAAATTAGGAGACTTGGCACTGTCTGTGTCATTCCTCCACCCAGCCCAGAGCTGAGCCCAGCTGGGAGCAGAAGTGATTCCTTCTCCAGGACCATGTACATGAGAATTAGTCCTCACAAATTTCATCCCTGAGGTTAGCCAGTGAGATCAGACTGCTTAAGGCTGTGCAAACCCAGTGGTGGAGCTGAGAGGAGATCTGGGGAGCTGCTGGAGGCAGGGACCTTTGCAGGGAGCATCCTGAGCCCTCGCTGTGCCCCTGTGGTGTATAGAGAGAGCACAGACCACTGTGTTTCCCTCACAGGATGTTGGATGCTTCTCAAGGCTGAAGGGCTTGAAGGGCTGGCCAGGTTGGTGGTGCCTGCCTGTTACCTGTTGAAGCTCCTGAAGTCCCACGCAGGGGGTTTCATGGGTGGCTGGTTCTTGCCATACACAGCATCATCCCTGTCACCGAAGAGCTCCTGCCACGGGCACCGGTAGCCCTTGGGGATGGCGGTGACGTTGAACTTCTCCGGGGGGATTTCTTTGAGGGGGCTCGAGTACCCTGTGCAGGGGGAGAGACAGCATGGGCTGCTGGGGCTGGGAACAGCCTGGCATTTGCATGGCCATAGAGGACCTGCTGCTGGGGCCAGGACTGCATATCTATAACATAAATATATACTTATATATTTGTATATGTACAAACTCTGGGGAAGGGTTTGGGGCAGAACCCTCGGCAGGCAGCAGCTCGCTGCCTCCAGCCCCACACTGCTGAGATCACAGCGGTGTCGGGTTTGGGGTGCAGGCAGGATTTATTTACCTGGGGCCAGGGCACTGGGGTTCAGGACTTTGCTCATATGCAAGACTTTCTCTGTCTTCTTCGGCACTTCTGGGGGGCCACCCTGGGGCGATGCTGCCACGTGGAGCTCGGAGTGATAATTCTGCTGGCCCTCAGCATTCTCCTCTGCCTGCGGGGGGGGAGAGTCAACAGGCACAGGGCACTTTTCCTGCCCCCACTGGGACTTTGGAGGTGGTTGAAAGCACCTCAAAGCTCCCTCCATCTACTCACCATCCCTTCATTTGCTGGATCTCCTTTCTCAGTGCGGTGTGAGCCCCCTGGCCCTGGGAGCTGCAAGAGGTAAGGAGAAGGGTTAGTGAGTGGATACTGAGCTCCTTGCTTGCCCATCTCCATACCCAGCCCACCAAGCCATCTCTCCTCTCGCTTCATCTCAGCGTAGCAGCCGACTGTGGCTGCCCTGTGCAGAGCCCCCCGGCCCTGCCAGGAATTGCTTCCCTGGAAAGGCTGCAAGAGCTGGGGAAGGGCTGTCTCAGACCCACCTCCCTGTAGCCACTGGGATGCTCAAAAATGAAGCGCTGCATCCGCCTCTGGCGCTGCTGGAAGAGCTGGGAGCCGCGGTTATTCCGCAGGGAGAGTTCCTCGATCATCAGGTCCTGCGTTGTGCTCATCTTCTTGCCCAAGTCCAGACGGGGCTCTGAGGAGGCCAGGAGAGAGCACAGCCAGAGCTGAGGATGCTGCAGTGCTGGGGAGCCCCAAGCCCAGCACAGACAGTGTGTCCCCTCGTCGGGGTCCCTGTTGCGTGGCTTAGCTGTGTCAGAGACTGGTGTTTCCTCAGTGTGAGGAACTATCAGGGAATTAGCTCAGCTCCAAAGGCTCAAACAGCCTCACTTGCCCCATGCATGGGTCAGTGGCCTCAACCAGAGCTGGGTCTGGCCCCTGGGCAGGGAGGGCAGCACTGCCCTGGGCCTGATGGCACCTCTGCACCCCCTTACCATCTGCAGGGCCCGGTTTCATGATGGTCATCACTTGCTGCCGTGCTCCTGGGGCAGCTCTGTGGCAGGGGGATGGATTCTGCCTGGCTGGAAGAGAGAGGCACCCCCAGAGTGACACCAAGCATGGGGACGTGTCAGCCCCAGGCGTGCCACAGAGGGATGCCAGATTTCAGCTGAGCATCACCCCTGTCCAGCATCATCCCCGAGCATGTCCCCTCAACAGCATCATCCCTGAGCATCATCCCTGAGCATCATCCTTAAGTATCTCCCTGCGCCGCTCTCCATTCCCTTCAGCAGACATAGGGAATGTTCAAAGCATGTTGTCCCTCAGCCCCTGCCTGTCATGTTTCCTTTCTGCCTTTCTTTAGGGCAGAAAGTATCCTCAGCTCTATCCTTGCCCACAGTGAGCCAGTGTCCCTGTGCCCTGAGTGCCCCCGGAGCAGCACCTGCTGCCGCAGCCCACAGGGCCAGGGGGGCCCTGGCTGCCCCCCCCCAACACCTCTGCCTTAGCAGAGCTATTTTCAGCTGTTGGCCCCAAGGGTGCAGGAGCTGCAACCCTGACCCTGCAGGGAGCTGGTGAGCCCAGCCAGTGGTGAAGAGGGGCACGGGACTACCGGGCTGGGTCGCTCCTTTGTGGAGAGGCAGCTGGAAACCAGCCCTGGTGTCAGCCCCTCAGGCTGCCCACCTGCAGCAGCACAGGGCACTCGGCTCAGTAAATGGGAGCTGTTTGACCCCATTGAGTGCATCTGGTGTCCCTCACCTCAGGCTGATGCTGGGCAGTTTCCCCTAAGGGCCCTGGAGAGCAGAGGGTCCCCATGGGGCTGTGAGTGCCTGGCATGCAGCTCCCTGCCAGCCCTAAGCTCAGCTTTACCATCCGCACAGTGAGCCTCAGACCTGCGTCCCATCCTTCCCTCCACCCCACTCCAGGGAGACTGTACCCTGACCCCACAGTCATGATGTCCCCACCACCAAGGCTGGGACGTCCCCAAGCCCTGTGCACCCACCCACCCACTGCCTCCCATGTGGGGACCTCACCTTCCCTACCTGGCCAGGGGATGCCCCAGATGCTGGGGAGTGAAGATGCTTCTCCTGCTGTGGAGGGTGATGAGGCCAAAGCCAACCTGCAGCCACCAGTGCTTGGTGGCCCTGGGTGGCCCTTCACAGCAACCCCTGGGCTCCTGCCGCTCACCCCAACCCGTCCCGGGCTCCAGCCCAGATGCCAAGGTCCAGCCACGGGACAGAAGTTATTTCTGGCTGAGAAAGGGGGCGGAGCAGGGCTGTGACCCTTGGGGAGCGGGATGCCGTCACCCCAGCACGGGACAGGTCTGACCCACGGGGATGAGGATGCCATCACCCTGAAGTGGGGCTGTGACCCTTGGGGACCAGGACCTGTCACCCCAGCATGGAGCAGGGCTGACCCACGGGGATGGGGATGCTGTCACCTTGGCACGGAGCAGGGCTGACCCCTGGGGACAGGGATGGTGGGCACGTAGCAGCAGCAGGAGGTGGCCATGTGCCATGTGTTCCCAGGCCACCTTGGGGACAGATCAGAGCTAGGCTGGGTGGGATAAAGGCAGTTTATTTCTGAGCTGGGTATACAGCGGCGTGGTGAAGGCAGGTTATGGTGGCTGGTGGAGTGAGGGTGGGAGATATGTCCTGGGAGTGGGGGGCTGTGCTCCAGGAAGAACAGACTGCAGGGTGGAGGTACTCCAGGGAATAGGGATGGGCTGGCTCCAACAGTGTGTCCTGGGGAACGGGAAGGAGTGACTGGGGCTCCCTGAATGGGAACGTGTCCGAGCTCTGGCAGCCCAGATTCAAACTCTTTTCCAGTCCTGGTCTCATCAAGGTGTGGGGACACCGACTCATCCCCATGGGGACACTCTCCTGTGCTGACACCTCCTTCAAACCCTCTGCAACATGTACCACTTCCTTCAGCCCCCCACAGCCCCCCCATCTCTTCCCACCTGCCCTGGCTGCCACAGAGCCCATCGGTTCCTGTGTGTGCCTCCATCCTGCCAGGGTGAGGATGAGGATGGGGTGAACCTGGGGATGGGGACAGTGACAGGTACAGGATGGGGCTGTCCTTCTTTGTTTGGGGAGGACAGGAGGGCACCTATAAACAGTCCCCTTGACGTGGCAATAAATAACTTTGGCTCATTTTGGTCACCAGGGAAGGAAGGATTTGGGAGAATTTCTTTGAGAAGGAGTCTAAAGTAAAAAAAAAAAAAAAAGCAATGAAGAACTGGGGAGATGGAATGAAAAATTAACTTTTCCTCCCCAGAATCTGTTTTCAGTTGAAACTGGATAGTTCTGGAGGCTGGGAGAGGGAACCTGGTCATGGCACACTGCCCATCCCTGCTGGATACGGTGGCTGTGCCACCCCAGCAAAGCAGAGCTGCAGTGACACCCCAGGGTAACACCTGGCAGCTGGGGACAGGGAGCTCACAGGGGACCACCGAGCCCATCCCATCCTGGCTATGTGGGAGGGGGCTGGCTGGTGGGCAGGGACTGCTGAGGGAGGGGGCTGGCTCTCCCCACTGCCTGCTCCTGCGTGCTGATCACGCAGTCCTGCCCAGAAAGGTTAGGGTGGTAAAAATAGAGCAGGACCACGGGATGGCGGGCGAGCAGGAGGCACCTGACCCTGCTGGCACACCGAGGGGCTGCGGCAGCTCCGCAGGGACACTGGTTTTTGGGGACCTCAGCCCCGAGGGTTGGGGTGCTCCCGGTGTGGGGGGGTCAGCGGGTGGCATCACCCAGGCTGACAGGTCCAGGAAGGGGGTGGTTTGGCTGGGGCTGGCTCATCTAGGAGGTGCAAGGGGCCCCCGAGGGCAGACCCCCCGTCTTCAGCCGCAGGCTGCCGGTCCAGCCCCGGGGACAGAGGTTGAAACTGTGGATTCCCGGGCTCTTGGTCCCCGAGTCTTCGGAGTCGAGGGAGACGTCCGAGTCTGTCGGGGACCGGGAGGTGCAGCGCTTGGCTGGGCATCGCCCGCCCACCACGGGGGATGGCAGGGGGCTCTTGGGGATGGGGGACAGCCTGGGGATGGGGCAGGAGGACGTGCTGGGTGGCAGCAGGAGCCGGCGACCCTCTGCCCAGGCGGCTCGGGGCATGCCGGGGGAGGCACAGAACTGGGGGCTGCCTGCCCGGGGCGATCGCAAGGGGCTTTTGTGGGTGGGCGAGGGGCTGCCCAGGCTCCCCAGCACGCTGCTGGCAGCCTGCAGTGCCGGCGCTCTGGGCCCCAGCCGGGGGGACTGGGGCAGGCTGGGGGGGCCAGCGGAGATGGGGGTGAAGGGCCGGGAGCCCTCCAGCCCCACGGCTTTGGGAGAGGAGCTCTTCCTGCGGGCAGCGTTGATGATGTTCCTGGCAAGCCGCGCTTGCATCTGCCGGCTGGCCCGGGGGTCCGCGTCCTGCCGCAGCGGGGACAGGGACCTCTCGCTCCATGGAGGTGACATGGGAGGTCCCTCATCCAGTTCGGGCACCGAGGCCGGGCTGGCCCAGCCGTCCAGGCTGCCCGGGCGCCGTGCCAGCCGGGGCGTCCAAGTGGGCGATGCAGGGAGGGACGACCGCCTGTCCTGGAGAGGGACAGAGAGCGGGTTAGTGACCCCCACTCGGGGGAACGAAGGGACAGAGCAGGGGGACAGCAGCAGGAGGGGTGCCAGGGTAAGAGTCACGCTGGCTCAGCCCCACAGGAGCTGGGGATGCCTCCTCGTGCATTGCACCCCTGCAAGGGCTCCCCAAAATGCATTTGACTCTTCACCCCCTTGCCTGTCAAGGAGGTCGGGGCAGGCTGAGCCTGCCATTAATCCTCCTTGCCCAAAATACGTCTCAGGCCCTCTCACTACCTGCAGCTTCCTAAAGCCTCCCTCTGGGGGATGCTCTGAGATCCCAGGTGTCCATTGCCCGGCACTGCTCCCCAGACGGCAGAAAAGAGAAGAGTCAGGTGTGACAGCGCAGAGAGTGTATTCAGAAAGAGGGGAGAAAAAGAAAAATGCAGGAGAAATAAAAGCACGGTCAAAAGGCAACTTGACACCATGGGGAGAGTGGTGGGAGTGAGGGATGGGCAGAGGCACGGCTGGACCACGAGCCCCAGGCTGAGCATCACGCAGCAGCCCTGCCCTCACCACCCTCCTCATCCCAGCACATCCTTGCTTCCAACCATACCACACAGCACCACCCACCCCAGCTCCAGCACTGAGCCCAGGGAGGGACAGGCACTCCACAGTGTCCCTTGTCCTGGTACCACAGGAATTTACTGTTCCTGAGGGATGCAGCTCTTCCTCTGCAGTGAGGAAGCAAATGAGGACAGATCCTGAAGGAGCAGCAGAAGAGCCAGGAGCAGGCACAGTGAGGTGGAAAGGTGGGGTGTCCCCTCCAGGTTTGCTTTGGTAGGAGGCCGAGAGGAACCGCAGGACAGAGGGGATGCAGATGAGCAGGCAGAGCTCTGAGCGCTGGAAAGGCGGGAGGTGAGGAAAGGAGGGAGCCAGAGGTGCGATGCTCTGTACAGTTTCCAGACGAGAGAAGAGAGAAAGCACCGTCAGCCCCCTGGCAGCACAGGCAGGCTCCTGATGGCTGTTTGGGATCCTGTGGGCTCTATGCCCCAACTCCTGCTGCCTCCCCGGGGCTCCTCAGCTCCCATTTCGCTGGGGGCTCAGCAGTGCCTGCCACCCACTATCCCAGCACTGCAGCCTCCCAGCCACTTCTTTTTTCTATTTCCTTTTCTTTTTACCCCCTTTTTTTGCAGTTGGTTTGGCTTTTGGTGCTCCCATGAGCAGTTAGGGAGGACTCAGCCTACGACCCCCATGTTTTTCTCTCCGCCACCACTACTTGTAATAAAAAGAAGGTTTCCACACCTGGGGCTCGATGCCAGCATTCCTGGTGGAGTAGGAGGGCCGGGGTGCCTGGAAGCCTGCCTTCCCCCGGGGCGGCAGCAGGCGGCATGGGGAGGCCAGGAGCACCTCAGCCGGGGCTCCGGGACTGGCTCCGGGACTGGCACGGCTCTCGTGAGTCAGGGGCAGAGCCCCGGCAGTGCCAGG